TGAGCCTTCTCTGCGCTATAAACACTCCAAGGCCCCTGTTTTCTATCCACTTCTCTTTCCACCAATCTCCTCCTTTGGGACTTGGCATCCTCTCTGAATCCGACCCCTTGGCCTGGAGGTTTAAAGAGGTAATATGGGTTTGATAGATTCATAATCATCGCCATGACTCCTGCCCATTCCTTCCTATGCAACTGTCCTTGTTCTTCTTGTTGTTGATGTTGTTGCAAACCCATTCAAGGGCTCTTTCCTCCTGGAACACTCCTGTTTTCTCCTTTGCTCAGAAATTTAATCAAGGGAAAGAACATGTAGTATTCAGGCCACTGAAAGAGTCTAGGTACCACGGATCATTGTATTTGTGCTTGGAGGAAGAGATTATTGTTTGCGAGCAAGAGAAAAAGGAGCGGGATGGAGGATAAAAATAGAAATATTTCTCTCTTCTTGTTCTAGCATTCGCTCACCTCTCTCCAGTCCCAGCCACCCCACCATGCCACTTCCCCAGTTTATTTATTATTTATTGATTTCCAATATTTCTATCCCGCCCTTCTCAACCCCCGAGTGGGGACTCAGGGCGACTTACAAAAACCAGCCACAATTCGAAGCCTCAATATAATGCAAATTTAAACACAAATAGCAACAGTTTAAAACAGTAAAGAAAACATTAAGCTAAAAACACATTAAAAACATTGTCATCAACCATATAGCCAATTTCAGTGTGGTTCAACATCCAAGGTGTTGTCATGCTTGCTGTTCAAAGGCCTTGTCCCAGAGCAATGACTTAACCTTCTTCCTAAAAGAAGGGAGGGAAGAAGCCGACCTGATCTTCCTGGAGAGCGTTTTCCACAGGAGTGGGGCCACCACCGAGAAGGCCCTGTCCCTCGTCCCTGCCAAGCGCTCTTGCGAGGCTGGTGGGACCAAGAGCAGGGCCTCCCCGGATTATCTTAAGCTACGAGGTGGGACATAGAGGGAAATACATTCTGACAGGTAAGCTGAGCCGGGACCGTATAGGGCTTTATAGGCCAAGACCAACACTTTGAATTGTGCCTATAGCATGCAATGGTTGGCTAAAGGCTAACAAGGGAAAGGCAAAACACTGGGGGTAAGAAATAGGATAGTGGAGAAGTTTTAACAAGTGGAGTTTAAATGGACCAAACAGAGCAAGTCAAAACTTTTTGCTCCTGTGTCTCATGCCAACAAGTGTGGAAAACAGACCCAAGTGCTCAGGTTCTCAGCTTACAAGCTCCATCTGGTCAAAAGAACAAGACAGAGAGGGGCGAGGAGAGAGAAGATTGAGAAAGAGAGTTTTAAAAATTGATTGAAGGACAGGGAGGGTAAAATTGTGGTAGAGAAGAGGTTTGTAGAAGAGAAGGAGAGAGGCAAGGGGAGAGCAAAAGGATTTACAGGCAGTCCCTGAGTTACAAACATGAGACGTATAAACAATTAATAGTTAAGAGAGGGTGAGACCACAAGAAGTGAGAGAAATCTACTCCTCAGAAGGGAAATTCACTCCTGGAAGAGTTCTCATGGGGAAAAGGTGTCACCACTGAAGCTTTCTCACCAATCCTTGTTTCCACAACAAGCCACATTTCTCAAAATCCAATTACCATAGGGGCAGAAAGTGACATCTTCTGAACAAGAACACAGGCAGAAAGCAAACACCACAGGGGTGTTAACCCTTCCGTATGTTACCCAAAGCTAACTAGATTGATATCTCTCTCTCTGTCTGTCTGTCTGTCTGTCTGTCTGTCTGTCTGTCTATCTATCTATCTATCTATCTATCTATCTATCTATCTATCTATGGCTGGAATTACACTTAAAGAATGCACCTGTTCGGACTAGCAAACAAATGTAACTTTTGTAATCCTGGTTTATTAAACTACCGTATATACTTGAGTATAAGCCGACCCGAATATAAGCCGAGGCACCTAATTTTAGCACAAAAAAACTCAAGTATTGACTTGAGTATAAACTGAGAGTGGGAAATGCAGCAGCTACGGGTAAATTTCAAAATAAAAATAGATAACAATAAAATTACATTAATTGAGGCATCGGTAGGTTAAATGTTTTTGAGTATTTACATAAAACTGTAATTTAATATTAGACTATCCAACTCTGAGTAAACCATTATTCTAATCTTCAATGTAAATATGCTTATGTATCCTTCCAACCAGGCATGTAGCCAGGGAGGGGGGGGGGGTTGAGAGGCTTCAGCCCCCCCCCCCCCGAAATTCTCATGGTGGTTGCGAAAAGGCTTATTGTTGCATTATTTAAACTGTTATGTTTATTCATATCATGATCTGATCACCATACTCAATATATCCCATATGCATGGGGGTATTGGGGTAACGATACAAAAGGTTTGCTAGGTAGACCCTCTTTCACTCAGACTCATTAGTCTAACCTTCTTCGATAATAATATCATTCCAATAATAATAAAGAGAGCAAAATAATAAATTAATAAAAATAATAGAGTAAAATAATAAATATAATAATAATAGAGTTAAAATAAATGTAATAAAATGTTAATTATAGAGTACAATAATGCAAATGTAATAATAATAATAATAATAATAATAATAATAGAGTAAAATAATGGAAATGTAATAATAACAGTAACAACCGAGTTAAATAATAAATGTAATAATAATAATAATAATAATAATAATAATAATAATAATAGAATAAAATAATGGAAATGTAATAATAATAATAATAATAATAATAATAATAATAAATAGAATAAAATAATAAATGCAATAAAAATAATAACAGAGTAAAATAATAAATAACCTTAACTGGAATATAAGCAGAGGGGGCTTTTTCAGCCTAAAAAAATGGCTGAAAAACTCAACTTATACTTAAGTATACATGGTATATGTATGTGTTGTGTGTGTGTGTGTGTGTGTGTGTGTGTGTGTGTGTATATATATATATAGTTGGAGTTACACTTAAAGAATGCACCTGTTCCGACTTACAAACCAATTCAACTTTTGTAATCCTGGTTTATTAAACTAGTTGGTCTATAGGAATCTGTCTCCAGCAGGTCTTTCTGTGGTTTCAATATGAGAAGTGTATCTGTGAATTGTGACTGTGCTGATATGTATACCATTTGGTGTATGAGTCTCTGTGGGTTATGCAATGTCTGAGCCCAACTTTCCTCTAAGGAGTTATAGATGGTATGACATCCTCCTCATCCGGAACAACCTGGTAAGGTAGCTTAAAGCATGAAAAAAGGCCTAAGCGCAGATCTAGCAACAGAATCATAAGAGTTGGAAGAGTCTCCAAGGACCATCCTGTCCAAACCGCTCCGATGGAGGAACATACAATCAAAGCCACCCAGAGAAAAGACTTCAAACCTTCAGAGAAGGAGACTCAAGGCTGAGTGTAGATTTGGAACCCAAGGCTCTCCATGTTCTAAATGCGACATCAGCTAACTTGAGACCATCTGTTCCACACTAGACCTGTGAAGAGTGATGCTGAGGCATTTCCAGGGAGTATTTGGAAAAGCTGAGGTCATGTGCGCAATCCTTGTGAGTATCCCACTGTGTGTACGTGAGTGTGTGCAGGTGAAACCAAAGCAGCTGGACATATATATATATACTGGATATGAACGACTCAGAACAAAAAAGAGAAGACTTGTTCCACTGCACATAGGAGCCACACACACATATAAAGATGCATTGATTTTCTCAAGGAAAAATGAATGAATAGTCCCTTCCCTAGACTCTATCAAAATTGCTGTAACAGGGAAAACCTCATCCACAAAGAGTCCAAAGTGGGCAGCTTATGCTACATGAAACCCATTACTCCTTCTGGAGCTGCAAGACTCGTCAGTGGGTTGCTTTGAGTTTTCTGGGCTGTATGATCAAGTTACAGAAGCATTCTCTCCTGACATTTTGCCTACATCTATGGCAGGCATCCTCAGAGATTGTGAGGTCTGTTGGAAACTAGACAAGTGAGCTTTCGGTATCTGTGGGAGAAAGAACTATTGTCTGTTGGAGGTGTGAATGTTGCAAATAATCATCTTGATTAACATTGAAAAGCCTTGCAGCTTCAAAGCCTGTCTGATTCCTTCCTGGGGGAATCCTTTATTAAAAGATGTTAGCTGGCCCTGATTGTTTCATGTCTGGATTTCCCCTGTTTTCTGAGTTTTGCTTTTCATTTACTGTCCTGATTTTAGAGTTTTTAAAATACTGGTACTCAGATTTTGTTAATTTTCATGGTTTCCTCCTTTCTGTGGAAATTATCCATGTGCTTGTGGATTTCAATGGCTTCTTTCTGTGTAGTCTGACATGGTGGTTGTGAGAGTGGTCCAGCATTTCTGTGGTCTCATGTGGACAATTGGGAGCCCCCAGTGGTGCAATGGGTCAAACCCTTGTGCTGGCAGGACTGATAACTGACAGGTGGACGGTTCAAATCTAGAGAGAGCAGATGGCCAGTTCTCTCACACCAGAAGTGACTTGCAGTTTCTCAAGTTGCTCCTGACACAGAAAAAAGTGGACAATTTCATCAGAAAGGAGGAAACAATGAAAATGAGCAAAATCTGGCTACCAGTCTTTAAAAAAACTGTAAAATCAGAACAGTAAATAAAGAACAAGACTCAAAACAACAGGGGAATTCTAGACGTGCAACAATCAGGGCCAGCTAACACATCCCAGCAAAAGATTCCTCCAGCCAGCAACCAACCAGGCTTTGAAGCTGCAAGGTTTTTAATACTATTCAAAGTTATTGATTACCACATTCACACTTCCAACAGACAAGAGTTCTTTCTCCCACCCTGGACCTTCCACAGATATATAAACCTCACTTCCTTAGTTCCCAACAGACCCCACTGCTATAGATACAGGCGAAGCGTCAGGAGAGAATGCTTCTGGAGCATGTCCATACAGCCTGGAAAACTCAGCAACCCAGTGATTCCGGCCATAAAAGCCTTCGACAACACAAGAATGGACCTCCTTCCCATCCCTCCCTTTCCCTTCTCGCCCCCCTCCAGCCCTCCTTACCTGTGCAGGTGCCCCAAGGTCCGGCCCGTCAACTTCTTGAACTCTTCTTTCCGAAACTCCATGGTGTGCTTGGGCTCCGAGGCGGAGGAAAAAGAAGGAGAAGAAGCAGGAGAAGAGGCAACCAATCCCCGCCGGGGCGAAGAGGCGTCCCAGGTTCACCTTTGGAGACGTTGAAGTTAAAGACTCCGCCAGGACATCCTGAAGGCGGCTTGTAAGGCGGGCAGGAGGGGGGGGGGCGGCTTTGAGGTCAGGGCCGGAGGAGGAGGAGGTGGGTAGGTGGGTGGGTAAGTGGGGGCCAGAGGAAAGGAAAGGGTTTGGGTCTGGCTCCCTTCCCGTGGGTCTCTGGAGATCTGCTCTGCGCTCCTTTCCTTCGAGTCTCTGGAGGGCTAGTCAGCTCCCCTTTCCTTCTGTCCTCTGGAGATCTGTTTCCCCGCTCTTCCTTCACCTCTCTGGTATTCTGCTCTGATCCCTTTCTCTTTGGGATCTTGGGTGTTTGGTCTGTTCCCTTTCCTTGGGGTCTCTGGAAGCCTTGGATGCCTCTCTTTCCTTTGGATCTGTCTCCTTTTCCTTGTGGTCTTTGGAAGCCTTGGATGCCTCCCCTTCCTTTGGATCTGTCCCCTTTCCTTGGGGTCTTTGGAAGTCCGGGATGACCCCCTTTCCTTTGGATCTGTCTCCTTTTCCTTTGGGGCTCTGCTTCTCTTTCCTTCTGGACTCTGAGATCTGTTTCCTCGCTATTCTTTCTCGTCTCTAAGAGTCTGCTTTGATCTCTTTCTCTTTGGGATCTTGGGCGTTTGGTTTGTCCCCTTTCTTTGGGGTTTCTGGAAGCCTTTCCTTCGGGTCTGTCTCCTTTTCCTTTGGGGCTCTGCCCCTCTTTCCTCCTGGACTCTGGAGATCTGTTTCCCCGCTATTCCTTCTCTCTGGAAGTCTGCTCTGATCCCTTTCCCTTTGGGATCTTGGGCGTTTGGTCTGTCCCCTTTCTTTGGGGTCTTTAGAAGCCTGGGATGCCTCCCTTTCCTTTGGATCTGTCTCCTTTTCCTTTGGGGCTCTGCTCCTCTTTCCTTCTGCTCTCTGGAGGTCTGCTTCCTCCCTTCCCTTGGGGTCTCTGGAGGTCTGCTTTCTCCCTTTCTTTGGGGTCTCTGGAGATCTGCTTTCTCCCTTTCTTTGGGGTCTCTGGAGGTCTGCTTTCTCCCTTTCTTTGGGGTCTCTGAAGCTCTGCTTTCTCCCTTTCTTTGGGGTCTCTGGAGATCTGCTTTCTCTCTTTAGGGGGGTCTCTGGAGATCTACTTTCTCCCTTTCTTTGGGGTCTCTGGAGATTCGCTTTCTCCCTTTCTTTGAGGCCTCTGGAGGTCTGCTCTGCCCTCTTCTCTTTCTTCTTTCCTTTCTTCCCTCTCTCTCTCTCTCTTTCTTTCTTTCCTTCCTCTCCGTCCGCACCGTTACCCTCCTCCTCCTCCTCCTTCTCCTTCTCCCTTGTTATCTTTCTCCTCTTTCCTTCTTCTTCTCCTTCTTGTTCTCTTTCTCCTCTTTCTTCTCCTTCTTCTTCTTCTCCTTCTTCTCCTCTTCTTCTTCCTCCTCTTCCTCTCAGCTCAGCCTCCTCTCCGTCCCGCCACCAACTCGCCCACGCGCGCTCCTGCCGGCCTCCTGCGTGGGACGGGGTGGGGGAGGCATCGGGGCGCGCCCAATTCCTCCAAGCCCTCCGGGGCCCCCGAGGAGACCCTGGAGAGAGAGCTCCGACTCCAAGGAAGGGAGAGGAGAGGAAGAGGAGGAGGAGGAAGGGCGGCCGGGGCCTCTGGGCGGCGGGGCGAACTTTGCAGGACAGGGATTCAGCACCACGGAGAGCGGCGCGACGGCGGCGGCGGCGGAGGCATGGGATTAAAGGGGCCGCGAGGCGTGGGCAGAATGAGAGAGAGATGTGCGTGTGGAGGGTGGACCGGAGATTAGAGGGGAGGGAGGGAGGGAAGGAAGGATGGGGCCGAGATCAAGAGATGGAGGGGAACCTGGACTGGGAGCAAAGCGGAGCGTCGGAAGTAGAAGAAGGAGGGAAAGAACAAGGAAAGAGAGACAGCCCAAAGGGACATTCCACTTGCCTAGTTTCCAACAGACCCCTCAACCTCTGAGGATGCCTGATACAGATGTGGGCAAAACGTCAGGAGAGAATGCTTCTGGAACGTGGCCATACAACCCGGAAAACTCACAGCAACCCAAGTGGAGAGTTTTCTCAACTCGGGAAATGGAAGTTGGAAGGGAAAAGGAGAGCAAAAGCCCCGAGGAGGAGGAGGACAAGAAAGAAGAAGGGTTTAGGAGATTGGGGAGAAGGAAGGAGAGGAAGAGAAAGAAAGGAGGGAGAGAAGAGAAGAACCTGAGTGCAGAATGTGTTGTCGAAGGCTTTCATGGCCTGAATCACTGGGTTGCTATGAGTTTTCCGGGCTGTATGGCCATGTTCCTGAAGCATTCTCTCCTGATGTTTCACCTGCATCTATGGCAGGCATCCTCGGGGTTGAGGGGTCTGTTGAAAACTAGGCAAGTGGGGTTAATTTATATGTGGAATGTCCAGGGTTGGAGAAAGAACTCCTGTCTGCTTGAAGCAAGTGTGAATGTTGCAATTGGCCATCTTGATTAGCATTGAATAGCCTTGCAACTTTGAAGCCTTGCTGCTTCCTCCTTGGGGGAATCCTTTGTTGGCCGGTGTTAGCTGCCCTGACAATACGTTGAGGAGTCTGTTGGAAACTAGACGAGTTAGCCCAGAAAGCTCACAGCAACCCCTTGTTTAGAAAGTTTATCTGAGAACAGTCTACTAGAGAAAAGGTGGGGAGAAGAAAGGAGAGAGAGAAAGAAGGGAGAGGAAGACAAGCGAAAGAAGTGTATTGGTTAAAAAAATTGTAATTGGAAAAGGGTTAGGGTTAGGGTTAGGGGGAGAAAGAGATTTCGGGAAAGGAAAGGAAAACGGAAAGGGAGGGAATCAAAAAGAAGAAGGAAACTCAGGAATAAATAGAGAGGTTGATTTGTATTTAAGAGGCAAGGAGAGATTTTCAGAAAGGGAAGAATGGGAGAATGAGACCTGGCCTCACCACACTAGAGCGCACAACTCCCCTGCTGCACCAGCTCCACTGGCTGCCAATTAGCTTCCAAGTACAATTCAAAGTGCTGGTTTTAACCTAGAAATCCCTATACATTTCCAACCCAGTTTACCTGTCCGAACGTATTCTCCCCTATGAACCATCAAGAATGCTAAGATCTTCCGGAGAGGCCCTGCTCTTGGTCCCACCACCTTCGCAAGCGCGTTTAGTGGGAATGAGAGACAGGGCCTTCTCTGCGGTGGTCCCTCAGCTATGGAACTCTCTCGGGAGCAAGATTATATCTGCCCACTCCCTCTTGTCCTTCAGGAGGTTATGAAATCCTGGTTATGGAATGAAGCATTCCCAGAATAATGGCTGAGACTGATTACAGACCAAAGTGAGTAACCACATATGTGGACTGAGTTGAACATGATTTTACCTCAGCGATTTGGTATATGTGTATTTTATCTATATGTATTTTAATCTTGTATTGTTGTATGATGTTTTAACTTGTATTAGTCGCATTGAATCCTTGCTGTAAGCCGGTCTGAATCCCTGTACGAAGGTGGGAAGATGGGATGTAAAAGTTTTAAATAAATAAATAATCAATAATAGCGGAAAAATCCACTTAAAATCCGGTTTAGGGAGAGGCCTTTAACAGCCTCACTAAACTACAAACTCCAGAATTCTGCAGGAGGCAGAAACCAGATTTTAAGTGGAGTTTTTTTTTTCTCTTGTGTGATCAAGTTTTAGGTATATTGGTAGAAAAGAGTTGGAAGTGTGAATAAAAACAGGATGCGGAACAATGGCTTCAAACTACAAGAAAGGAGATTCCATCTGAACATTAAGAAGAACTTACTGACTGTGAGAGCTGTTCAGTGGTGGAACTCTTTGCCCAGGAGTGTGGTGGGGGCTCCTTCTTTGGAAGCTTTTAAACAGAGGCTTGATGGCCATCTGTTGGGGGTGCTTTGAATGCAATTTTCCTGCTTTTTGGCAGGGGGTTGGACTGGATGGCCAATGAGGTCTCTTCCAACTCTAAGATCACTACTGAATGAAAGGTCATGAGTTCGAAGCCAGCCAGGGTAGGAGTGACCAATTTGTGTAGCTTGCTGTCAACCTTTGCAACCCGAACAACAGTTGCATCTGTCAAGTAGGAAATTTAGGTACTGCTTATGTGGGGAGGCTAATTTAACTAATTTATAATGCCATAAAAATCTCCAACAAACATGCAAAGAATGAGGAAGTACTTCATCAGTGTCACAAATGGACAGTGAAGCGACAGCTCCCCTAGTGACCAGAATACCCTCATCAAAAAGCTGGAAAGTTAAGTAGCCTCTGTGTGTCTGTCTATATATGTTATGTGTCTATGGCATTGAATGTTTGCCATGCTTATGTGCATTGTAATCCGCCCTGAGTCCCCTGTGGGATGAGAAGGGCGGAATACAAATACTGTAAATAAATAAATAATAAACTCTTTGATTCTATGATTTTGTGATTCTAGGGTTTGGCAAAAGGCAGGCAGAGAGAAGAGGATAAGTAACAGAAAAGGTGAGATGGGAGGGAGGAAAGGGTCTTGGTTGGATATGACCAGCGTTTTCTTAGCATTGGTTGGGTTGTGTGCAGAGGATGCAATTCCTTCCCTGCGTCCCCAGAGGAGGGCAGGAAAACAGCTCTGTCATTAATCTTTCAAAAGTACTTAACTAAGCAGAGACAGGGAGAGGCAGGAAAGGGCTTTGTGGGAGAAGCAACTGCAGACCCAGCAGGACAATACACTCACTGGGCAAGAGAGAGAGAGACAGAGACAGAGACACAGAGAGAATCTCTCCTACTGACCCAGACAAAAAAATCTCTCTGGATAACTGGAGGAATTAAGCTAGAACAGGCATGGGCAAACTTGGGCCCTCCAGGTGCTTTGGACTTCAACTCCCACCATTCCTAACAGCCTCAGGCCCCTTCCCTTTCCCCCTGAGGCTGGGGCCTGAGGCTGTTAGGAATGGTGGGACTTAAACTCTCACAATTCATAATGACCTACCGGCTGTTAGGAATTATAGGAGTTGAAGTCCAAAACACCTGGAGGGCTGAAGTTTGCCCATGCCTGTAATAATAATAATAATAATAATAATAATAATAATAATAATCTTTATTTATACCCTGCCATCATCTCCCCAACAGGGACTCAGGGCGGCTAACATGAGGCCAGGCCCAAAATTATAACAAAACAGATACAAATAAAATACGAAGCAAAATACCATCAAAATAAATACCATCAAAATAAATACAAACAAAAATAAAATAAACAGGTCCAAAATGACATGAAAAGAAATAGGACACAGTGGGTGGGTCAGCTTTTTGCGCTTTCGAAGGGCGTGGGCCTCGGAGGGCGAGCAGCGGCCGCCTGGCCGCACCATCGCCGCCCGCCTGCCGCTCGCCGATCTGGGGGAGGAAGGGAAGAGTACGAGGCCGGCAGCCTCTTGTGTGGATTGTTTGTGTGTAGACCTTTTTGTGCTGACTTTTTTTTGTGCTGACCGACATTGTGATAGACCTACTGTGCTGACCACCGCCGTGTTGACCATCTCCGGAAGATTGTGAGATTCTTCCGCTACTTTATACCAGCCGTCCATAGTTTACATCTTGAATCAGATCTTTACCAAACTGATATTACTGCCAATCCCTCTAATACCATGTTTATATATTGCTAACATAGCACGTTCCTTGTCTACTCTGCTGCTAATTGGCACTAAGAACGTTATATAGCACCTTAAGGCGCCTGCCTATTGCTGCTAAACTATACTTGCACTTACGCCCCTTTCCTACCCTCCATGCCGCACTTTAGTTAGTATTGAGACCCAGATTGGGTATTTGTCGCACTTTAAGATCTTTGCACTTTAGGAATTTGCCCAACGGCACGCAGTTGTATTGTTGACTGTATTGCACTTTAAGATTCTGCACTTTACGAACTTCTAACTGTTGTGGCTAAAACGCTCAGTATCATCGAGTTGATTATTATCCATGTGGTCCCCCATCCCCCTATTGGTGCTGTCCTTGCTATTAGTGACCAGTGGAAAGGGCAAGGGAGGAGGTGGGCTGGAGCCTGTGAACAATAATGAGGCGGGGAGGGGGGAGGAAGGGAAGCAAGGGAGTTGGCAAGGGCCAACAAACCAAACATCTAGCGAAACAGAAATTAAGACCTTGGCTTTGGACTGCGGCATGGAGGAGGGGAGGTGTTCCACTAGCCGAGGGGCCCCCATAGAGGTCGTGGTGGGGAGGGGGAGATGCGGAAAAAGGAGACCTCAAATTCGGCCTAATTCGGACCGCTTACCAACATTAATAACCCTAAATCGGTCTCCTAAGGTAAATTGGTGTAACCAGGTGAGCGGGCCCTCAGGATTGAAGGTGGTGCTGCTGAACGCCAGATCTGTCAACGGAAAAACGACCTTCATCCAGGACTTGATCCTGGATGAGCGGGCAGATCTGGCGTGCATTACGGAGACCTGGTTGGATGAAGCTGGGGGGGTGAATCTGACCCAGCTTTGTCCCCAGGGTTCTCCGTACAGCACCAACCGAGATCCGGAGGACGGGGAGGCGGGGTTGCAGTGGTCTATAGAGATTCCATCCATCTGACCAGGAGCCCCATCCCGCAGACCACAAATTTTGAATGTGTCCACCTAAGGGTGGGTGACCGGGACAGAATAGGGATTCTGCTAGTGTACCGTCCACCTCGCTGCACTACAGTCTCCCTACCTGAGCTAGCGGGGGTAGTCTCGAGCCTGGCGTTGGAGTCTCAACGGCTTCTGGTGCTGGGAGACTTCAATATCCACGCCGAGGCGACCCTCACAGGAGCGGCTCAGGACTTCATGTCTGCCATGGCAACCATGGGGCTGTCCCAACAAATATCTGG